GACGTATCCGCGGAGCAGCGAGCAAATCAGGGAGGGAGGCAGCCACTGCAGAGGAGTGGGCTGCCTTTAGTCACAGGGAGGAGAGATGTGAGGCGAGGGAAGAGTGAGGGAATGAACAGCAGAGAAGAAGAAGTACGGGGGAGGAAAAACAAAAAGGGTGAGGGTAAAAACATTGGGATGGATAATAGCAGTGCTGCAACAGCGCCGGGTGTTCCTGGAGTAACATTTTGGGAACCAGCTCGGGGGTAACGTGGTGTCACTTTCCCTGCAACAGCAAGTGACCTCCTCTCCCTCTAGGTTTTGATGGTTCAGAAAGCCTATTGAAGCCAAACCACTGAACTAAAAACACGGACAAATGCATTATTCACACGGCAACAGACTTTGAAAAGGGGGAAGTCTCTCTCCGCTCTGATAGAAAAGACAGAAGAAAGGCTTCCAGTCCCTGTTCTGTCAATCTTTGGGAGAGCCTTGGGAGAAGTAAACACTCAAAGTCAAATTGCAGTTTAATTGCATTGCCTCTCAACGACCTAATTTGATCCGACACCAGTGTGCAGTATTTGGATGATGACCTTATGGATCAGCACTGATTTATTCCAAAACGACAAGAGGAATTCATGTACGAGGAGTTGTAGTAACGCAATTGTGCTGTAAGTGAAGCAAAACTTCTCAAATGTATGACTCATTGTTGGCTTTTCAAGAGCCACTGTGCAACTACAAAGCTCCAGCTTTGCTCCCATTTATTATGCGTTTGTCAAGATGTCCCTTCCTATTTTTCATTTAGGATGAGTTCTTATCTCAGACACCCGGGGGCGCAATTATTGCTCCGCTTGTTGTGAGCACAGAACACAGAGATAATGTTTCATGGGCAAATGAACGACAGAGAAGAGAGGATATTCTGACAACCAGCAAGGCAGCAGTTAGGATCCCAGTGTACTTATGATCAAATAAATAGCATGGACAAAATAAGAGTGTGGTTGCAAGTACTTATCTTTGTTATGTCCTCATACGACTAAACATAACATTAAGATTTAAAAAAGGGTTAATTCACACAAAACAAATGATTGTTCCTCTAGACATGCATATCATTTAAAAGTTATCTTTCAAGGTTATGCACCCAAAATAAGGGTGTGAAATTTGTTTGTGTTGAAACATTTAATATTAAACAGAAACAGTGTTCCATGTTCCCTAGATCAGAGGTTCTCAAACCTCTGAGACAGGCCACCCCAGGGGGGCTTCTAACCGTTTCATGGAGGCTAAGTGAATGGAAAATATTACATCAGTTATTACATAAGTTATCCAATGATGATCACATAGAATAGTCTAAATGTGTCTGATTGTCTGAGGTATACATTTTGACTGAAGTCACCCAGTTGTGGATTCTTATGGAGTCAAATAACATCATGTAGGCATCCGGGAATGAACTAAACTAAGTATGTAAGGGGGTGGGGTTAGGGTTTGCCTTTCTCCAAGCTATTTCTGGCTATTGGGGGCCCTTCCAACTTTACAAAATAATCCACATATCTTGTGTTCAAGAATTTTGAAAGGGACCATTTATTTAGCAATTAGTAATTCCACAAGGAACAAACTAGCTATGTGCCAATGTTTTTATTTTTAAGTTTCCTATATCAAGCTTTGTGTTTTACTTTTATGGATTTATTATTTCATGTAACTATATGGGGGAACATATCTAAACTGTTATACATATCTGTGTTTTCTTGGTGTATTTGAAGACATAATAAACAAGTATTTCCCTTTTAAGATTAAATATATATGACTAAATATGCAGCATTCAAAGTTCAAAACTATTTATTATTGATGAAGAGTCTAACATTGAAATAACTACTGTAATATGCCTGATCAGGGGTTAAGTCCTTACTTTGTAATTAAAATGTTGCTACATACTGATTGGTGAGGGAACTATGGTAGGTCATTTTTCACAAATTAAGCCCCGCCCACTGATGAGAAAAGCATAATTACAAAAAAACTCTAATAAGAAACAAGCAAAACTGTTCTACCCTATCAATAATATGACAAATCATTATTTTACGTTAATGGTCTCTTGAAATCTATGTTGTGTTCTTTTCTTTAGTTATCACAGCTATATTTTTCTTGAGTTGTACTTTTGGTTGTGAGCTACTGGTGCAGAGCAGATTGAGATTCAACAAGCATTGTTAAATACTGTATATCACCACGAGAGCACTGTCTGGACTAAATAAATCATCATGCTGAAAATTGAATTTGAGAGTCATTTTACCTTGGGTCATCAACTTGCTACTTTTGGGGGGAGAACAATCTTTTTATCGTTGCTCTGAAGACGCTGCCGGGGTTAAATCTCTGCTGCAGTTCTGTTTGCATGTCTGCTCCCAGGGCAGGCTGACTGTCATTCTCATGCTGAGAGTCTGATCTTCATGAGGAGAACATAACAGAAGCTGACAAGCCAAGAAAGAAAAAAAATCATCTCTGACATGCCATCATTATCTGCTCATGTCAATCCTTTTTTCAGAGGTGTGATGAAAGGTCCTGAAACATTTCATCGTTTTCTTATTGGAGAAAAAAATATCCAACAGATGTATTTGGCAGAGCGTGTGTTTTAACAAGTAACTAACACCTTCATGGAAAACTGAGATTTAGTCCATTTGGAAACATATGCAAATAGTCCTCTCCAACTTTCAATGAAATCTACAAATTACAAACAACACACTACTGAAATAATAATACTGTTAAAGTTTAATTGCAACTTGATCTAGTAAACGCTTCATCTCAGTAAAATTATGGCATGATTTATCTATTTAATTTGTGTCTCCCGCTTAGTATTACCCTCATAGGTTCATTTCCCGAACACCCTTCGGGCTTAATGCTGGGAAATAAGCTGCACTACTTATGTCTAGAAGAATCACACTGCTATTCCTCTACAGAAGAGAATATACTCAAGCATCAGCAGAGAATGGCTCACAAGGTATAGTAAGCATACTCAAAAAGAAAATGTATTAAATATCAAGGGAAAAAAATACAGATTGGGTTAGAAAATACAACACATGTCACCTTGATCATTATCCTCCCCCCGCCTACAGCTAAAGTGGACCGCACAGAAAGTGTTTTTTCTCTTTATAGTGGCGTAAAAAAGAGTGTGCATTTCATCCACAATCTTGTTGGCCTTTCAACAGGGAATCATGCTGCAGATGGAGGCTCACGCGCGCCCAGCCACCAGGCCGCTCGGCAACCGGGCTTCTTCTACATAATTTGCATTCCTACACTCATGCATAAGCAAACAAGCCACCTGTACAGTACACACATGGAACAACCCCGGTATTCCAGTGCAACGCCAAAAGCCTGTAACACTGCATCTTTTCCCTTTAAACTAGTGGACCAATGAGAACCTTGGGAGTGCGGAGTCTCGTGCTGACTCAGTAATGAAGCCTCATCCGGATCAGGGCTAATTAGTGTTTTACATTCTGATTTCTCTGTGGTATCTCCCTGTGACAAATGAAGTCTGTTCTGCATGCCCTGCATACGGGCGAATGGAGCGCACAACATCTTAATGCCAGAGAAGATTGGGGATACAAATTGGTAACTCGATTAACCTCAACTCGTAGCTAAAAACTATCAGCTCAAACCAAGATATTCACCTTTTTTTTAAAAATAATGAATGGCAACCCTCACGTGATAAATTGATGGCGATGCTGAATGCAAAACCATGTAGAGATTATTGGTAGGGTTGCCACAAAGATTTTTTGAATTTTGTATTAATTAAACAAATGTTTATCAATTATTAACTGACTCAATCTAAAAAAATCCCCATTGATTAGCTGTTTGGTAACCAATGGGGATTTCTTTTTTTTCTTTTTTTAAAAACACAATTCATGTATGTATATATAAAAAATGTAATCCTTGTACAATATAAGTTTGGGTGGGAAAATATTTGGCATTCTTTTTACCCTAATTAGTCAGCTGTTTAATTCTCTGTCTGTAAATAAAGTTAAATGATTAGCATTTAGGAACAAATAATCATATATTCGCGATATTGTATGGTTACAGTTTTGCAAAGTAAGATTATGTATCCTTATTAAACTAAGAATACATGTTGGTTAAAATAAAAGGTGACTTGCTTCCGTATGAAAGCAAGACAAAAGCTTTTTTTTATATTTGTGGTACCTGAAATATAATTTTCAAGAGAGTTGCTTCCAAGGCTAATCCGATATTTTGCCGGTTTGTTCCTTCAGCTCGCTCCAGTCTAAAACAACTGCTGGATGGGGATGTTTCAACATCCATGCAGCGCCATGCAAACAGCTCCAAACTGTTAGAAGTGACTGGCTTTAAAGGGGGGTTGGCAGAGGACAAAGAGCGTTGCAGGGTATTTGGAGCATCAGAGTCTGTAACTGGAGACGCAGTGCCAGTTGAAAAATGACAGAGAAAACAATATTGACAGAAATACAGCAAACAGCATTTGAACACAGTCTTTCAAACGTCTCCAAACTACGTACGCATTTGTGTTTGTTTATCTTTGTATTTGGAGAAGAGTTGTTTTATCTGGTTCTAGGCAAATCACATGGGTTGTGATTTGCAATGTTTGTTACAACCCATATAACACTATTGGTTGGAGCAAACAACAATACATGCTTCTCTTAAAGCTTCAGTATTGAGTACTGGGACAAAATATGTTAGATTTGCACTGAGAATGGAGAGGAAAGTCATGGGGTCAAAAGTATCTTCTTACAATTTTTAAATAATGGTATAAAAAAAGTAGAGATGCAACGTTGACCTATTTGTCATGTCATGGAAAGGTTACAGTGGTTATAATGACTATTTCTATAATATATAACAATGTATCAAATGACAATGTGAATACAGTGTAATT